GCCACTGGCTCAGGGTAAAGAGCCCAAAAGCTCAGAAAATTGATTTTCTTTAGGAGAGGGATCCCGGCGGTAGAGGAGCAGCGTATACTGCTATCCGTGGCTTCGAATCGAGGGTGAGGCTGTGCGTATCGAGACACTCGTTACAGCGCAAATGTGATGCGCACCTTCTACACACACACGTTCTCTCTCATTAAACTACCAGCGAACTCAGCCCGGGTTTCCTGCTACTTGACAAGTCGTTAGCTCAGTTAAAACAATGATTAAACGCATTAGTCGGAGCAGGGAAAAAATGCCATCTTCACGACTTAAAAAAATCCTGCCCACGTATCTGCCTTTTTATAGAAAGCTCCATCCTGCACTTCTGTCACACGCTCGACACCGAACGCCCGGCTCCGTCCCACGATTCAACAGGGGCTCATGTCAGCAACGGCCCTCAATGCTTGCTGGCGGTCGGAACCCGGAGGAGACCACCCTTCCAACGGGTCATCCTCGGACGAGGCTCTGCGAGACCTCCACCTACTCCTGCTTCCTGTGTGTCACGGCAACAGGAACGGTTTTTGTAAAACAGAAGCCACTCCGTGCCGGGTACGCCTGCGGTGTGGTTTGCCCTTTCGTCCCGATGGTAGTCTTGCACGTCTGTTTTAAAATATAATCGGCATCTGCATCTTTAAAAAAGGGTATGTGGGGCTCCTGGGTGGCTCAGTCGGTTGAGCGTCCGACTTCGGCTCAGGTCATGACCTCTCGGCTTGTGGGTTGAGCCCCGCATCGGGCTCTGTGCTGATGGCTCAGAGCCTGAAGCCTGCTTTAAATTCTCTCTCTCCCTCTCTCTCTCTCTCTGCCACTCCCCTGCTCATGCTGTCTCTGCCTCTCTCAAAAATAAATAAACTTTGGGGCGTCTGCGTGGCTCAGTCGGTTGAGCGTCCGACTTTGGCTTGGGTCACGATCTCTCGGCTTGCGGGTTTGAGCCCCGCATTGGGCTCTGTGCTGATGGCTCAGAATCTGGAGCCTGCTTTGGATTCTGTGTCTCCCTCTCTCTCTTCCCCTCCCCTGCTCATGCTCTGTCTCTGTCTCCCTCAAAAATTAATAAACACTGGGGCACCTGGGTGGCTCAGTCGGTTAAGCGTCCGACTTTGGCTCAGGTCATGATCTTGCAGTCTGTGGGTTCAGGCCTCGCGTCAGGCTCTGTGCTGACAGCTCAGAGCCTGGAGCCTGTTTCAGATTCTGTGTCTCCCTCTCTCTGACCCTCCCCAGCTTGCGCTTCGTGTGTGTGTGTGTGTGTGTGCGTGTGTGTGTGTGCGCGCGCGCGCATGTGCATGTGTGCATGTGTATACGTGTCTCTCTCAAAAATAAGTATTTAAAGGGGCGCCTGGGTGGCTCAGTCGGTTAAGCGGCTGACTTCGGCTCAGGTCATGATCTCGTGGTCCGTGGGTTCGAGCCCCGCATCGGGCTCTGTGCTGACAGCTCAGAGCCTGGAGCCTGTTTCAGATTCTGTGTCTCCCTCTTTCTCTGACCCTCCCCTGTTCATGCTCTCTCTCTCTCTGTCTCAAAAATAAATAAACGTTAAAAAAAAATTTTTTTTTAAATAAAAATTAAAAAAAAAACCAAAAAATTAAAAAAGGTACAAACTTCTAGTCATCAGATAAACAAGTCCTAGGAATGGAATATACCTAATACACTGTAATACCATAATATACTGTAAGTACTGTTAATACCCACTGCACATTTGAAAATTGCTAAGAGTACATGGTAACAGTTATCACAAGGAACAAAAAATGTATAACCACAGGGGCGCCTGGGGGGCTGAGACAGGTAAGCGACTGACTCTTGATTTCAGCTCAGGTCACGATCTCACAGTCATGGGATCAGGCCCCGCATCAAGCCCCACATCAAGCCCTGTGTCAGGCTCTGTGCTATCAGCTTGGAACCTTCTTGGGATTCGCTCTCTCTCTCTGTCTCTCTCTGCCCCTCCCCAGCACTCACTCGCACAGTCTCTCTCAAAAATAAATAAGCTAAAAAAAATTCATAAATGTTGTGATGGAAGTTAACTGAACTTCTTGTGGCCACAATTTCACAACATATACATGTGTTCAATCATCATGTTGTACACCCTCAAAAGTAAAACAATGTCGGGCCGCCTGGCAGTCTCAGTACAGCATGCGACCCTTGATCTCAGGGGTTATGAGTTCGAGCCTCACATCGGGTGCAGAGTTACTTTAAAAGTAAGTAAGTGAATAAGACTAAAACAGTGTTACATGTCAATTACATCTCAAAAAATAAATTGAAAGAAAGATTCTTCTCCTGTACTCTTATTCCACCCCCTTTATTTAAGGAGACCCGAACCCCCTTTTTCTTTCTTTCCCATGACAAAACCAAATCAATCAAACAAAAACAAAGTTTATACAATTAAACAGTAGCTAAGCCCGTCTTTCTTAGCCAACACGCCTTCATCCTAAACCACTTATCAGTGCAACCAAATATATCTTACTAGCTCATGTTTTCTTTACTCCTTCCCAACCCAGACAGGACCAAATAATTCTGGCAGGAAATGTGATATGTAGAGATAATTTTGAATTTTGAATTCAAATCTATTTCCTATTACAAAGTTATTTTCTTTTAGGGTTAGCCTAAGAGCTTTCTGGAGTAATTACCCAATGTTAACTTCCATTGCCTATGCCAACAAAATAAAAAATACTTACTAGGGATACATTTTACAATATACTAGCTAAGCAACTTTTTAAAAACCCGATAATGCCCTCGACATAGACCAAATACACTTACAAACACTCACATAGCAAATTATTTGTCATCTTTAGTTATACAAGAATGCTATTTGGAATCTGGATTCTATTTTAGGCTTTCTTTGCTAGCCTTCCTGTACACAATAGGGTTTCACCTGGAGGATACTCAACTATTTTACTCATCGCCTTTAACAGATAACAGTGGTCTATAAATAAGGAACTACTTAAAGCATTATATTTTCCCCTGGGCTAGAAAAATAATAGCGGCCACGTCAGATCCTTGGTTTTAGAAGTTAGAAACAACTATCATTCCTGACAGTCGCTGAATACAAAAAATTACTAGAATTATTAGCTGATGCAGAAACATTTGGGCAAAGAGGTAGCCCGGGTACTCCCAGGAGCATTCTCTCAGATTACAAGGAATTCCTACAAAATGAATTATTTTAGGGGCGCCTGGGTGGCGCAGTCGGTTAAGCGTCCGACTTCAGCCAGGTCACCATCTCGCGGTCCGTGGGTTCGAGCCCCGCGTCGGGCTCTGGGCTGACGGCTCGGAGCCTGGAGCCTGCTTCCGATTCTGTGACTCCCTCTCTCTCTGCCCCTCCCCCCTTCATGCTCTGTCTCTCTCTGTCCCAAAAATAAATAAACGTTGAAAAAAAATTTTTCAAAAAAAAAAATAAAAATAAAAATAAATGAATTATTTTAGTGAAACATACAAATATTGAATACAGAGGCACATACAACTGTTTTCGTGCTAAAGCAGGAAGCAACTGTACTAATGATACACGTTTTAAAATACTGACATCGAAACTTAAGTAAAACTGTCCTCAGAGGAAAAAACAGTATCAACAGGCCAAACACTCTGGTTATGTGGCCAGACGGACACCACACGTGAAGTTCCGGCAGTGAAGAAGGAATCAAGACCTATTGCTACGTATACACCGTGCGCACAATCCATCTTCTGAAGCACATGGGCTCAACGGAATTAAACAGAATATAAACGAAACAGGAAGTGCAAATTTAAGAGTATACCCCCCAAGTTACGCACATTAAAAACAGGAAGAAGCAACAGAGACAAAAAAAAGTCTAGGACCAAGAAAGAACTATTACCCTACTATTTTGTTTTGGAAACAGTCCTCCCCACTTTTTTTCATGGCATTTATTTAAAAATGCTTTCCTGTCACAAATGAGCTTCCGAAGTTAAATAGTCAACTTCTCCTAAGTAACTTGGGAATTTTTCCACTGTGGCTAGAGGGACAGATCCAAGATTTATGCTCACTGAGACTTCTACAACTTTTTCTTGAAAGGGGTATGGATGCCGTACTCTTTAAGGAAAGTTTTAAGAAACAAAATACAAGCAAAGGGAAAAAAGAGAGAGAGAGAAAGACACACACACAAACTAAGAAACAGACTCTTAACTACAGAGAACAAACTAATGGTGACCGGTGGGGAGGTGGGTAGGGGATGGGTGACAGAGGGGACAGGGATTAAGGAGGGCACTTGCCATGATGAGCAGTGGGTGTTATACGTAAGTGCTAAATCACTAAATTCTACTCCTGAAACTAGTATTGCACTGCATGTTAACTATACTCGAATATAAAACAGAATAGAATAGAACAGAATAGAATAGAATAGAATAGAACAGAACAGAATAGAACAGAACAGAACAGAATAGAATAGAACAGAACAGAATAGAACAGAGCAGAATAGAGCAGAACAGAATAGAATAGAACAGAACAGAAAACAACAGAACAGAACAGAATAGAACAGAACACAACAGAATAGAACAAAATAGAACAGAACAGAAAACAACAGAACAGAATAGAACAGAATAGAACAGAAAACAACAGAATAGAATAGAATAGAACAGAATAGAACAGAACAGAAAACAATAGAATAGAATAGAATAGAACAGAACAGAAAACAATAGAACAGAATAGAACAGAATAGAACAGAAAAGAATAGAATAGAATAGAATAGAATAGAATAGAATAGAATAGAATAGAATAGAATAGAATAGAATAGAATAGAAGTTGTACAGAATTACAAATCCAAAGTAAGGTGCAGGGCCTCAGCGGGGCCTGAAGCTTCAGCCTTACTGACCTCATTAACGGTCTCCGTGAGCAACAAGTTTCCGAAAGGATGGCTCCTGGGAGGGAGTTTTGTTTGGTCTGGTTTGCAAAGGTGAGATTTTTCCGACCATCAGATCGGCGGCGAGCGCCCAGTGGTGATGGGGTGACGGGATCGCCCAAGGGTGCGTCTTACCATACAAGCGTCCAGATCTTCTAAATGATCCATCTCCGCGAGCTCCTCCGCCGTGAGGACGGAGCGTTTGGCTGGCTTCTCCTCGGCCAGCTCAATCTCTGAGGACTCCGGCTGGGGAAGGGTCCTGCCCCGTCTGCTGAAATGCTCAGCCTGAGAGAGTCAAGACGGGCCCAAAGAGGAAAAAGCACAGAGGCAAGGGGAGAGCAGGTGAGCCGAATTCTGGAAGATACCTTCCACAAGGCGGCGCGGTGACTGTGCTTAATCCACTCACACCTGAATAACTTACCTCTTACTATCTTTCTTCGGAGGGTGAACGGTTTGAGGCAAGAAATACCAAACCTGCCTTAATAAATGAGAATACGTAGTCGAGAAGAAAAAAAGGCATGTCCTTTTTATAAATTTTATTTCAAATTTCCTCTGAAATAATTTCTTGCTCTAGTCAGTGTTTTAAAAGTATCTAATGAGGGGAAATAAAATGATTCCAACCTTCACTATTTTTTTATTTTTTTAAATTTTTTTTTTCAACGTTTATTTATTTTTGGGACAGAGAGAGACAGAGCATGAGCGGGGGAGGGGCAGAGAGAGAGGGAGACACAGAATCGGAAACAGGCTCCAGGCTCCGAGCCGTCAGCCCAGAGCCCGACGCGGGGCTCGAACTCACGGACCGCGAGATCGTGACCTGGCTGAAGTCGGACGCTTCACCGACTGCGCCACCCAGGCGCCCCAACCTTCACTATTTTTAAAGGCTGAGAGGAAGGAAATTGCTCACAAAACTAATTGCTGCTGGCTTTTTTCACGTAATGAATACCATATCGGATAGGATTTACTAATTTCCCATGTTATGCTTTAAGTAACCCTAAAAAATCTAATGGTAAGAGGCAGAATAAACTGGGCTGAAATTAATGAACTCTAGGGTTGAGCTGGTTCATCACCAGCAACTTTGATTCAATTCTTTTGAAATGACGAGAACCACGGGGCGCCCGGGTGGCTCAGCCGGTTAAGCATCCAACTTCCGCTCAGGTCAGGATCTCAAGGTTCGTGGGTTCGAGCCCCGCGTCGGGCTCTGTGCTGACAGCTCAGAGCCTAAGGCTGCTTTGAATTCTGTGTCTCCCTCTCTCTCTCTGCCCCTCCCCTGCTCGAGCTCTTTCTCTCTCAAAGATAAATAAACATAAAAAAAAAAAGTTTTTTTTAAACGTTGAGGACCAGTTGACAATACTACAGAAGCTCTGGGTATACTCTCAACTTCAAATGGAGAAAGTATTAAGTACTTGGAATGCCTTTGAAAACAAAATTTCATCTTTTAGATACTATTTCTTTCACACAGCAGTTAAGCTCTCTTCTTATAATCTAAATTAGCAGAGTATTAAAATACAGCTCAATACAAAAGAACACCCACACAATTCTTTTTTAAACTGTAAAAAGAAAATGTCAATATTTTCCGACTAAATGCTTCAAAGAAAGACAAATTAAAAAAAAAAGTGAAACATTCCACCTTTCAGTGTGGGTGCTCGCATGCGGTCATGTTGACACAATGTCAAGTGGGCATTTTGAGACTGTCCCTGCAGCCGTGGGTTATAAACTGTTTCTGTAAAGGACGCTCCATAGATTTTTTTTTTGCTTTTGCTTATTTAAGAAAGAAAAAGTCTTGGGGTGTCTGGGTGGCTCAGCTGGTTAAGTGACCGCCTCTTGATTTGGGCTCAGGTCACGATCTCACTGTTCGTGGGGTCGGGCCCCGTGTTGGGCTCTGTGCTGAGAGAGCCCAGCCTACTTGGGATTCTCTCTCTCCCTCTCCTTCTTTCTCTGCCCATTCCTACTGCATGCACACTCTCTTCCTCTCTCTCTCTCAAAATAAATAAACTTAAAAAAAAAGAAAGAAAGAAAGAAAAAGTCTGGTTTGGGGGCTCTAAACAATAACTGTGCCATAAACTAGAAACTAGTGCTTCCTAAATCCTCTGTGGTGATGAACCAGTTTTTTGTATTTCCAATTTGCCACAAACCAGTTTACTGATAAAAAAACAATAAAAATAAAACAGTGGGGCGTCTGGGTGGTTCAGTTAAGCATCTGACTTCAACTCAGGTCACGATCTCACGGCTCGTGAGTTCGAGCCCCGCGTCGGGCTCTGTGCTGACAGCTCGGAGCCTGGAGCCTGCTTCGGATTCTGTGTCTCCCTCTCTCTCTGTCCCCCCCTCCACTCGTGTTGTGTCTCTCTCTCAAAAATAAATAAACATTAAAAGAAAATTAAAAAACAATAACACATTGGAAAAATAACATGTTTCGTATTATGGCCATTTCAAATTGCTCTAGAAGTTTCTCCATGTTTCCTCGTGGTTGAACCTCGTCAGGGACTGGTGCCCATCGGTTGGTGGGCCAGCTCTAGTCCACATCACCGCTGGAGATGTCTGTTCTACCTTCCATTTTTAGAGGACAGCCTTATGCCTTTTTCTGAAATGAGTTTTTCAAAATATTCACATCGTCTGCCTTGCGGAGAAGAAGCGGCTACCGTTGCCGTTCCTGTGGTGTTCTCTGGTGTCACCAACAATTCAGTGCCCTAAGACTGGGTATCTCCAGCCTGCACAGTTAACCTGAAACGCTTCACTGGGGAAATGTCAGAACTCACTTCAGAGATCCGCACCGCATCACGTTGCTATTATGTTAGAGACACAAGATACAACAGTAACAAAACCTTCATCTGTGCCTCAGAGGACTTCCTGAAGTTCAAAACACCTGAAGGTGCTGATGTATTTTTTATACGCACCGATATTGGAAGTAAAGTCTTCTACCTTGGTAAAACCAGTCTCCAGATAAAGAAAATTGATCTCTTTACCTCAGTTATATCCAAGAGGCCTGGCTGGACGCTCAGCGGCTATCAATCCCTAGAATGTGTCCATTTCACTCTTGCCTTTCTTTGGTCTCCAAACATTTCATTTCCCCGGCCTCATGTCTTCAAGAATATTCCATTCTCAAATTATCATATCAGAGACCAACAAAATAAGCACACAAAGATGAAATAATCTAAAATATCTTTAGATCCCAGTCTCCGCATTATTTCCTAACAAAACCCTTGACCTGCATTATAAGCGGATGAAATTTCTGGATACCATCACTTCTGCTTCTCTCCCTGCCATGCCTTCTGGAGAAATTCTAGCATGCTCTAGAATGTCTGGAAGAAACGTAGGAGCAAAGGTAGGGTCTTGGCCCACAGGGCTGCGAAGGAGTGAAACGTAGAAAGGAAGCCATATCCCCAAACTGGAGCCTGCCCTGCATCATGGCAGACGACAACGGAAGTCCCACTCAAGATGTCCATGGCACTCACCAGTTTATGATGGCAGTGTGAGAGCGCATCCAGAATCTCGTCCACAATCCGATCAGACAGGAAGGAGGCCACTGTCAGCTTCACTTCACTGTGTGGACATCAAAAGCACATGGTAGCAATTTCATCTGTGCGAGGGGAAAACACCACCCACCCCGACGCTCTGTTGGTAAGGTCAACTGTGATTCTGTTTCCGTCTTTGGAAACAGGATGTAAGGAGGTGTGAACGGGGCCAAGGATTCCCAAAAATAAGCCTTAAACACTGCCATAAACACACAGGTAACAGACTTTCTTTACCAATTTCAACCTGCCTCTGTAATTTCAAAACTCAAGATTTAGTGGGAGAAATGGAAAACATCTGGATCAAGACAAACTTAATGGGAACCATGTGCCATGTGGCAAGGAACAATTCATCCATTGACATAAATGCAAACAAACCCGGGCTGGAGTAAATTAAGAAAGTCTGATTGTTGAACTCTGGTTATTACTTTATTTATTTATTTTTTTCCTCTTTGAGATCTTATTTTATTTTATTTTATTTTATTTTATTTTTATTTTTATTTAAATTCACATCAGTTAACATCCGGTGTAGTATTGGTCTCAGGAGTAGAACCTGGGGATTCCTCACTTACATATAATACCCAGTGCTCATCCCAACAGGTGCCCCCCTCCATGCCCACCCCCCCATTAGCCCATCCCCGCCCCCCTCCAGCAACCCTCAGTTTGTTCTCTGTATTTAAGAGTCTCTTATGGTTTGCCTCCCTCTCTGTTTCTGCCTTAATTTTGTTATTACTTTAATATGCATTTCCCCCACCTTGAAAAAAAACTTTTTGCCAACCAAATGGTACCACATTGAACTGCTTTTGCCTTCAAACTATTATAAACTCACTGTTCTCTTGCCTTTGATGAACAAAAGTTACCATAATGTTCAGTTTTAGTGTCTCTTGCCTGACCTTACGCAGGAGTCCAGACAACAGAAAGTAACACACTAGTTAATTTTAGAGTTTTCACTAATAAATCGGCCACCAAGCTGTCAGTCGGATAGCTGGTATTTTAGTCGGAATTTTACCTATGTGGTATTCCCAAGAATTCAAACTCCATTACTGTGTCTTCAGTCTGACCAGTCCTACCTAAATGCACATACGCACAAATGTACATAAATGCACAATACATTTCAAGGTGAATGTGCTAAAGAGATACATACTCACACTCCCACATCGACTCATGAGTTCCGTCTGCTCTTGAAGTCAAGAATTGTAAAGTTTTGACAGCAGGGAAAGGAGTTATCAAAATAAAATTTTTTAATCACAAAGCTAAGGTTGAAAGTATATTTGTGTAACAGGGAAAAACCTTTCTAACCTAAAGGCAGTAATTGGCATTGGGAGTTTTCTGCCAAGGAAGATTTCGGATGGCAGGGTGGCAAAACGGAGGCACTAACTCTTTGATGCCTCCATTAAAAATCTTCCTAGGAAGGGGCGCCTGGGTGGCGCAGTCGGTTAAGCGTCCGACTTCAGCCAGGTCACGATCTCGCGGTCCGTGAGTTCGAGCCCCGCGTCGGGCTCTGGGCTGATGGCTCAGAGCCTGGAGCCTGTTTCCGATTCTGTGTCTCCCTCTCTCTCTGCCCCTCCCCCCGTTCATGCTCTGTCTCTCTCTGTCCCAAAAATAAATAAACGTTGAAAAAAAAATAAAAAATAAAAAATAAAAATTTTCCTAGGCTGAAGATAAAAGGACGTTTCATTAATTCCTGTCTCCGAAACAAGGTCCCAGTAGCTACTTGGTTTATCTAATACTTTACTATTCCCCAGAGGTGTTCACTGACAAAATTCACCTGGGTCTCATTAAAAATACAGATTACTGGGTCCTACCCAAACCTCTGGGGGAGGAGCTGGGGGGCTGGGAATCTCATTATAACAAGCATTTCCTCTCCTTTTTTCAGCCATGTTTGGAAAATTTACTCCCTCATAAAACTATAGAATCAGTAGTCTATCTCCGGTTCTCTCCACCCCACCCTGAACTGGGGAGGGGTGGTTTATCTGTCTCAAGTTGTAGCACCAAAAATGATCCTTTAAATACAATGCACTTAAAAAAAAAAAAAAAAAGTCTCAGGATGGTTCTATCATTTTGTTACTGGATATTATACTTCCTTATTGGACTTCCAAACTGCAAACTTTGTAGGGGGAATGATTCCACTTAAGCCCCATTGCACAGATGTACCTGAATGTCTACACAGGTGTAGATGTACAATTTTCATCCCACCAGTGCTCAGGGCGATACGTTATAAAAAGCCAGGCAGGGACTTAATGAACACAGAGGCGAGTCACTGATGTAAAGCGTTCTATACTGCTGTTCACTTTTCAGAACCTGCCCCTTTTCAAAAGAAGTGACCATATTTGACAGAATTTGGTGCAATAAAGGCATCAGAGTACGGTCCATTGGCAGTTCAACCCATTATGACGGAAGAATGGCGGCCAATACATTTTTCCTTCTTCGTACAGAAGGGGCCTCAACAAAAATCCCAAAACTCTAGGTTCAAGAAATATGAAAGCATATCTCGTAAGGGCTAGCTAGAGTTGATAAAATCACTAATCTGCAGGGTCCTGTAAATCCTCTACATGTCTTTTCATTTCTCAGTTCCTTCAAACTGTATCATTCAGCTGAGTCGGCACTAGAATCTTTTATTTTTAGAAACCCCAACACACACACGGCTGCGTCTTAGACCGAGACTGTCCCATTACTGCAAAAATCCTCGACCCTCAAAGTCCCAAGATCGAGCTTCAGTATCTAGATTGTGTAACATTTTTGGCTTCTTTTAATTCTTTTTCTCAAAGGCTGTCATTCAGTTACGTATCATTCACCATGTGTTGACACAACTCCTAATTCTTCAGAGGAGAGCTGGGTTTTTTTAAATTTTTTTTTAATTTTTAAATTTTTTTTTTTTGCTACATCTAAATACTCTTATCAATAAGAAATGGTTAAAATGGAAAAAAATGGGGAAGTTCAAATATTGCTGAACCTGGATTTGGTTTTGCGTCCACTGATTCCCCAACTGAGACACAATGAGAACTCGTGGAGCATCACTCAGACTGGGAACCACCTGAGTTTCTACGTGAAATAAAACCCTTAGAAAGAGCAGTTAGCTGTATGCTCTTTAGTAACGCACGCGTTCTTGTGGAAATGTGTAAACCTATGCATTTATGCACAGCTCTATTTATATACAGTCGGCGCCTATCAGACATGCCTCACGCGTTATATACGGAGACAGCCAACAGTAACGGTCTTCGCGGCTGCTCCCACGGCATTCACGGAAACCACAGAGCCTCGGTTTATTAACATCGTAAACCTACCTAATTTTGTTAAGGATGTCAATTCCAGACTGCTCCAACAGGACATTTTTAACAAAGGTACGTGGGATGGAGATCTTTTCAGTGCTGGCATGAATCAAGTCTTGTCGGATGTGGGCTTTCTTCATCACGTTGGGACACAGATCCTCGGCAGCGTCGACCATGGACTCGAGCAGCACCTGCAGTGTGGCACGAGCGCAGGGGAGAGGTGATGGCGGGGCACAGGACGCACCTGCCATAAGGCTGAAAGGTGGTTATAGCACGACGCTGAGCCCTTGGACGGCAGGGCCCAAGAGGGAGCGCGGAGCACGATTAAGGATTCTGAGCCGCCCCGGGGTGACCTGTGACCATTGATGAGCACTGATCTCAGGTAATCACTTTAAATAAAATACCCGGCAGGCCGGCATCGGAAGTGGCCGGCTGTGCCAGGTGCACTTGATGCCAGGCATTCGTAAAAAGATGTCAAAGGACACATGTCGAGCCTTTACTCGCCACCTTACCACACCAGCTAGTTCCCCCTGCTGCTAGAAAATAAAGCAACAGATGCCCTTTGACTATATCGAACTTGACCTCTTGCGTGATTTTGTAAATCACAGAAACCCCAAATCAGGGCGAACCATTCAAGAGCTCTATCAAAACATCAGTAGCAAAAGAAAAAAAAAAGAATTCCACAGATTTATTCTTTTAAAGGAAAAGTTTTAGTGCTGAGTCAAACTGTAATTGTTACAACAACAAGAAACAACATGGATGACGGACACAAACATTTACGGGGCACTTTACAAACAACACTCAAAACATGCTTAAGGAGCACTCTAGAGTTTGTCAAATCTTTCTCCACATTTTATCCTCCCGACATCTGTGACGATGGGGGGCGGGGTAGGGGTTCACACGATCACCATTTTGTAGTTGAAGAATGTGAGCTAGAGAAAGTTAAATAACTTGCCTGACATGGACGAGACGGCTTGTAGTGTGTGAAAATGGCACCAGTATTCGTGTCAGATCTAAATCTGAACTGTAGCTGAGTGATACCAGGCTGTTATGGCTTTCCTAATTTTACTTTGCTTGTGTATAAAATGGCAAATAAAAAAGTCCTTGCCTTCCAAGATCATTGAAGATAAAAGGACATTACACACGTAAAGTACGTAGTATAATGCCCAGCGTGCAGTGAAAGTTTCGTCAGGGTGCCTGTGTGGCTCAGTCGGTTGAGCTCAGGTCACGATCTTGTGGTCTGTGAGTTCGAGCCCCACATTGGGCTCTGTGCTGACAGCTCAGAGCCTAGAGCCTGCTTCGGATTCCGTGTCTCCCTCTCTCTCTGCCCCTCCCCTGCTCACACTCTGTCTCTGTCTCTCTCAAAAACAAATACTAAAAAAAGTTTTTTATAAAGTTAGTCTATCACAGATCATATTATGAATCTGTTTCCAAAGATACTACTTTTAACGATAAGATCTCAGTTTCTGGAAGCCAGCGTGATGCCATTACTATTCCGGTGTGAACAAGGACAAAGTGGCATTATCCTGGACGGATGGGTACAGGCTCTGTCCGCTCACATATTTACATCCAAGCCCAATCCCACTAGTGACATCTCTCATTCTTCTATAGGCTGGGAAGCAGAACGGCAGGATCTTGTGAAACACAGAGGTAGAGGAGGGGAAGGCAGCCACCTGAGAAGTTTCCAAAAGCAACTCCTATTTTGACAGCACTCTGCCCCTATTATAACTCTAATTACTGGTTTTGCACATTACTCTGAGAAAGCTACAAGCAATGCAAATAAGATCGTGTAAGACAGATTATTTTCCTCGTTGGCATGAAAAGAAACACACTCCGGTCCAGACTGCATAGCAGTCCAGCCCTTCCGATAAGAATCTATACTCCTCCACATTCAGCCTGGTTCAAGCATTACCTCTTTGAGGTGACCTTCTTGATCTTACTGTCTTTATGGCCTTTCCGCCCCAAGCTGTGTTTCATGACATTCTTTAGTAACACCTAGCATCTGGTGGGGATCTCAGAAATTAAATGCGTCATAAAATGGTCAAGAATGCAGTACCTTTTAGCCACTTGGGTGTGAAAGAACCCCTTTGAGAATCTGATGAACACTCAACTCAGAATAGTATAAAATTTTGCGTGTAACTTTAGAAGTTCATGGAGAATTAGAGGCACCAGACTCCAGACGTACAACTTGCACCTGACGGCAACCGCAAACTCCTACCCTTTATCGTCAGGACCTAGCACGCCTCTTGGGACATCTCTAAAAACATAAAAAAAGTGTTACAAGCCCAGGGACTCACCGAATGTGGGTACTGAACAGTGCATCTTTTCTTGGCTAGTCTTCCCTCTCTCTGTTGCATTGGTTTGTCTACCTCTGCTCACTGTCCTAATTATGATACGTCCTAATATATTGTTAAGCAAGACTACCAACCATCTTGCTCTTCGTAAGCATATGAGCTATTTCGAGCACTGCTTTTCCATATACTCAGAATTAGCTCTGTCAAGGTCTGTTAAAAATCTCTTGGGAATTTCCACTGAATTGTGTCCAAGAATAGATGAGTTTTGGAAAAACTGGCATCATGGGATCCCGTCTCTTCTACTCAGAAACACGACACATATTTTACTGTTTTAGACTTTCTTTTAATGGTTATTCATTTTTTAAAGATTTTTTTAATGTTTATTTTAGAGAGAAAGAGAGCACGCACAAGATGTGGAGGGGTGGAGAGAGACAGGGACAGAGGATCCAAAGTGGGCTCTGCGCTGACTGCAAATGGCAATATCTCATTCCTTTTTTGTTGTCGAGTAATATTTCACTGTGTGTGTGTGTGTGTGTGTGTGTGTGTGTGTCCATTCATCTACTGTTGGACAATGGGCTACTTCCGTATCTTGGCTATCGTACATAATGCTGCAATAAACATACAGGTGGATACATCTTTTCAAATTTGTGTTTCTGTTTTCTTTGGGTAAATACTCAGTATTGGAATTATTGGATCATATGGTAATCCCATTTTTCATTTTTGAGGAGCCTTCATACTGTTTTCCACAGTGGCTGTACCAGTTTGCATTCTCCACATCCTCACCAATACATACTTCTGGTCTTCTTGATTTTAGCCACTGTGTCAGGATATCTCCTTGTAGGTTTGATTTGCATTTCCCTGATGATTAGTGATGTTGAACATCTTTTCATGTGTCTGTTGGCCATTTGTCTTCTTTGAAAAAATGTCTATTCAGGTCCTTTGCCTATTTTAATTGGATTATTTGGGGGGGGGTTGGTATTGGTATTGACTTGTAGACAAGTTCCTTACATATTTTGAATACTCACCCCTTATCAGCTATATCATTTAAAAATATCTTTTCTTATTCAGTAAACTGCCTTTTTGTTTTGTTGGTGGTTTCCTTTGCTGTGCAAAAGCTTTTTATTTTGGTGTAAACCCCAGAATTTAATTTTGGTTTTGTTTTTCTTGCCTGAGGAAACCTATTTAGAAAAATGTTTCTTTGGCTGATCAAAGAAATTACTGCCTATGCTTCCTTGTAAGAGTTTTATGGTTTCAGGTCTCACATTTAGGTCTTTAATCACATTTTCAGTTGATTTTTTATGGTGTAATCAAATGGTCCAGTTTCATTCTTCTGCATGAAGCTCTCCAGTTTTCTCAGCACTATTTGTGGAAGAGACTGCTACCCTATTGTATATTCTTGCCTCCACTGTTGTAGATTAATTGACCATACAAGCTTGGGTTCACTTCTGAGCTCTCTATCCAGTTCCACTGATCTGTGTGTCTATTTTTGTGTCGGTACCATACTGTTTTGATCACCACAAATTTATAATATATCTTGAAATCTGGAATTGTAATGCCCCTGGCTTTGTTCTTCTTTCTGAAGGCTGCTTTGGCTATCTGGGGTCTTTTGAGGTTCCATACAAATTTTAGTATTATTTGGTCTAGCTCTGTGAAAAATATAGTTGGCATTTTTGTGGGGACTGCATTAAATTTGTAAGTTGCTTTGGGTAGTATGGACATGTTAACAATATTGATTCTTCCAATCCATGAGCATGGGTTATCTTTCCATTTGTCCATGTCATCCAATATTCTCTATTATTACTTTTTAAAATTACTTGATCAATTACTGGTAGTCATATTCAGAGTTTTCCACCGCAATGAATTTGTTGATTTCTTTTCGTAATTGTGTCCACTCGTTCTTATATACACGAAGCCCTAGGACTAGACGCATACACATTTGAAATTATGTGTTTCTGGTAAACTGGATCATCCAATGACCTATTTTATTTCCAGTGAGGCCTCTTCTATTGTATCACTAGGTTTGGGTGGGAGCATTCCCCTGGTGTGGAGCTGAACCTTGTACTGCAGAATGGTTAGGTTCATTGTCACCTGGCTAAGCCAGTGGCTGTGAGAACCCCAAATAATCTCAAACGCTTCCTAATGACCTTCTAGGCAGGCAGTGAAACCCCTGGTTTAGTGTCTCGGCTTCAGTTGTTACATGAGAAATCGTAACATGGATATTTTACTTCCTGTCTGAAGCAGCACTGACCAATGGACCTTCCTGAGATGATCAGTGCCGTCCAATAAGGGAGCCACTAGTCACGCATGGCTATGGAGCATTTCAAACATGGCGAGTGCAACTGAGAAACCGAATTCTATGTTTTTAAAAGTTAATGTTAAATTAAGTTTAAATGACCACATGTGGGTAACAGATAATACACCGGAGAATGTAGGTCTAACACTGATGTCCTAAACATTTTCCCGAATAAAACTAGGATGTTAGATTGCTCTTCCTCATTCCCTATTGACTTAAATACTGGGTTCCAATATTTTATTTATATGTACTCCTAATTTCACAGCACAGACTAGGTATTATACGATAAACTATACACTGTTGTTTATAGTCAATGTTTGTCTTTACCCACATTTGGTATTTTCCCTTATTATTCTTCCTTATACTTGCCCCAAAGTATATTCTTTAGATGTTTATTTAGTGTAGTCTAGTTACAGTAAGCTATTTCAGTTTTTGTTTCGATGCAAATGCTTTCATTTCACCCTTATTCTTAAAAATTAGGTGTGGTGGGGGGCGCCTGGGTGGCGCAGTCGGTTAAGCATCCGACTTCAGCCAGGTCACGATCTCGCGGCCCGTGAGTTCGAGCCCCGTGTCGGGCTCTGGGCTGATGGCTCAGAGCCTGGAG